AAGGAAGAAGCCAGGTTAAGAAATCAAAAATAATTTAAAGAATGTTTTCTAGAAACCATAACCACTAACATATGAATGTATAAAAAAAAATATAAATGTTGAATGAAATGCAAATTCCAAGGAACAGCAGGAGCCGGATGGTTATCTTTCCACAAGTGTTTCCTGATGTTGCACAACTAGATTCACATCAGTGAATGTGTACTCACTGCTGAGCAAATGCTGCACCCTGCTGGTCAATAAATAATACACATATCAGTACATTATCTTCTGTTCCTGACATCCTTCACTAGCAAGACTAATGCAGGCCATAGATGGTTCGTTTATCGGCCAATTTTTCGTTCGAAAGAATAATCGGCCAATTTTTGCACTGTTAGTGGGGCAATGGCATCGGCCGATTTTCGCGGTTCCTCCTCATTTCGTTTATCGGTCATGCTGGAAAATTTGTGAAAAACGGCCAATTTTCGCAATCATTGGTGGCATCTTCGGTTTACAGAACGAGCGATGTTTCATTTTTTGGACGAAAAATCGTCCGGGAAGATGGGTCCCATTGTGATGAGAGCATGGACTGGTATCTCTGAAACAGGTGGAGGCCTTTCCCAATAATGTTCCTTGTGCACTGGGGCTGTTTTCTCACCCTAGAGCTATATACCACACAGGGGCGGACTGACCATTTGGAAACTCGGGCAATGCCCAAGGGCCCGGGGTCAGTAGGGGGCCCCATGAGATGCCCCTGGTACCTTTTTCATAGGCTTTTTTGAGTTTGGGCAAGGACACAGGGGCCCCATGTTTCCCTATTGCCTGGGGGCCCCATGAGTTGTCAGTCCACCCCTGATACCACAGCAGCAGTGTTCAAATGGTGCCCATGCATTATCACGTCGTTGCGTTCATCTTCATGTGTGTGGGCACCATTTTGCTGGTTCCTACAGCTTAGGACAACCAGCCATTCTACTACTCGGTCACAGCCTCTTCACGACACAACAGCTTTCAACACATGGAGCAGAAATTATCCGTGAACACTTGTTCTTAGGGGGCGACTGCCACTTAAGTGTTTGGCTTGTGTCTACAGTTCTCTCAGCTGGGTGGCCACTTCTCTTGGGGTCAAAAAGGCCTACATACCCTCAGCAAAACATGGCCTTATGCAGGCAGAGAGGTGGAAGGATGGGCTCCCAAATCCCTTTATCAAGTAGGGAGACAGTTCGCCCTGCAATGTTTTTCCACAGGGTCAGAGTAGCTCTAAATCCCTGTCCTTAGCTGGTACTTCTACTGCCTCTGGGGTACAATTCTCCCTGTCTTTTATCAGTCATTTCTAGTTAATTGAAGATCAGCTTTCAGGGGTTTTCACTGGTTTGGAACACCTTGGATGTAAGCAATGATGCTCTCCTTCCCTTCCTCTCTTTTTGCAGAAGGAGGAAGCATCAGTGTAACATCTTGACGAGGAGGAAGATTAGGAATCCTCTGTAAATCAGTGCTCCTATGAGGAGTCTCAGGGTCTGGTGCTGTCTCAGACACAGAAGACCACAGTGGGCTTCCTTGCAGATGTGGTGAACACTAACCTGAAATTGCCACTTCTTTCAATCGATGTTTGGGTCCTAACGGCAAAAAAAACACCCCAAATCTTTTCCATGGCACCCTTATTTGAAGGAAGTGAAAAGTTTAATTTTGGGCAAATCTGGAGAAGATGCATTCACCTTTGAAGCAATTTGCATAGCAGTGCCCCATGAAGGCCAATATATACAAGAAATGGGGTTCTCTGGTTGTTTACCTAGTTATTTCCTACTGAAGAGGATCTTGGAGGTCCAGGTGGATAAGGTCCTGGTCTTTAAAGATCAGGTTAGAGGCCCTCATTAAGGCATCCTCCTCTCTGGTAGGAAAGGCTCTGCAATCTGCAGTGGAGTTCTACTAAGCTCTTAAAGTTTGGGCAAAGCATGTACTCTGTTCCAGATAATTGGACCAAGGGGGATCCTGTCACCTGGCATTTTTATGGTGGATGTCCTGGAAGATTTCATACTGCAGCTTTCATGGGTGGGCACCATGAATGTCCACCTGAGAAGGATCCTATGGCTCAAGTATTGGCCATCGGAACATTGCTGTAGAAACAAACTGAGGAGCTGCCCTTTGAAGACGAAAGCATGTTTTGACTATCTGTGGATGCCTGTGCGTAAACATACACTCTTACCTTTGATGAGGTAGACAATGGTGACAATATCAGAAACTGGTGACACCTTAACAATTCAAGAAGAGTTCCTTTAGTAGCCAACATGCCTTGGGCTCTAAGCAAAGCCTGCATCCTATTTCTGTAAGAATTGGATTTTCGAGTCCTCTACCTCTGGAGGAAAGTTCCCCTCACTGAAGGGAGGCCCCCCCACCCACTCTGCGTGGATGGCAGGGGTTGTTTATTGGCCTTTTTGGATGCCTGGATTCACAAACTCACAGATGACTGGGCCTACAGCATGGTGCCAGAGGTTACAAACTTTAATTTTGCTACTTTCCTCCTCCATGCCTTTTGTGTTCAAGGGTATATTTAGAGTCACAAAAAAGAGCGAGTTTCTTTGCAGTTTTGGAAAGGCTACTGCCTCAGTCATACCAGAATGGAAGGGGTCTCATGGTTTCTATTCCAACCTATTTACAGTTTCTAATTCAAACAGAGGCATCCAAGCCTATTCTGGACCTCGCTGTCACAAGGGATGATGTAACCACGTGCTTCCACCCCTCAGTTTATTTAATGGCAGGAGCCAAGCGTTGGGCACAGACTTTTTTTTTTTTTTTTTTTTTTTTTACTTGCGGGTCAGTGTTCTTTATCTTTCCATTAATGCTGGACTTACTTTGGGGGACATTTACTTTGCTTTCTTTCCCTAAAGGACTTGTCAAAAACTGGCTGCGGGTTTTTTATTTACTTTGGCCATTTTTTTTTTTTTTTGTGAATGGGTAGGGGTAATCATCATTCACATGGGGGCTGGGGATGCAGATAAGTCACCTGCTGCATCCCAATAACCACTGGAGCTTGCTTACCCCTCCTTCCTGGCCTGCATGCTCAGATAAGGGTCTGGTATGAACTTTGGGGTAGAAACCATAACAATTTTAATTTTGGTGTGGGAACCCCCTCAAATCCATTTTACCTTTTTTAAACAGCGACTCTTAAGTCATGGTTGTTAAGTAGGCGCCTGGTGCTGGATCGCCTTAAACAACCAACTATTGTTAAGGACACCAGCAGGTTCCCGTTTCAAAACACAGCAAGTTTCCACTACTAAAAAATACTGCATCACTTTAGGAAATAGGGCATGCAGGATTTTAGTAGTTTTTAGTGAATTGCAAAAGATTTTTTGGAAAAAATGCTATGAGCTATTTTACCGTAGATCTTAAAGCAATAGATGCCAATTTGTGAATTACACCCTCTGACCTATATCAGACTTTCATTTGCTGCATGGCTATTCCTGGGCAGTAACCCAGAAGTAACTAAGATGTATCTAAACCCAAAACAAAGTGTAATATATAGCAGCTTGTCAGTCCTTAGACTGCAAAATGACCTAGTGACTGCCAGTAACATGCTTCCGGTCATTGTGTGACAACATGACTTCAGAAACCTCCCCCTCTTCACCACAACAGAGGGGGAATAGTTCTGTAGTCTTCAGAGAGCTGAAACGCATGCATCTACCAACTGTCAACACAGGCAATGAGCAAACAATTTGTGGCAGGTAGTTTTTTGCACTTAGCAATAAAAAACCCAAAACACTCTCAGTGTTATCTTTATCAGACCAAATGGGGCTAAATAAGAAGTGTTTATTGATGGGGTTTACATGCCTTTTTAAGCCAGACACAGCCAGGCAACTAGAATTTTTAGAAAGAGCCCGGCCAGAAATGGTGGTCTATATTTTCCTCTCCTGGCAGGAATACCTTATCCCATGCCTTTTTTAAAGTTTTATTCAGCTCCATTTCCCTGGTTCATGAAGGAGCCTTCAACCCTAACAACACTAGGGGAAATAAAACAAAAAACAACATGTACATTGCTCTAGTGATGAAAATCTTCCTTATTTAATGCTGCAACTTGGCAGACAGTACAAGAAAAGCCATACCACAAGAAATTTGGTTACAAACAGCCTTTAATGAGTTACTAAAGAGCCGAACAAAAAACTTGATGCATGTCATCACCTTACAGTCTTGATCAGTAACATAAAAAATAATAAGATGTACAAGATCTTAGGTGGAACTTTATGACTCCGGGTCATTATATATCACACTGCTTTACAGCTGAAGTGCGAGCATTAAAACTATTGGCAGAAAATGCAAAACGTATTAGGCCAAAATTTTTGTAACCTATTGTAAAACAGTGGTTCTCGGCTCTAATTCTGCAGTACCCCCACTGGTCATGTTTGGAGAATTTGCCTCAGGGAGCACGGCTGTGGTAATCACCAGTTCAGCCAGCTATACAGACTTGTGCAAGAGTAATGAAATCCTGAAAACATGATTTTGAGGGTACAGGAGTTAAGGAAAAAAAAAAAAGAAAAAAAGACAAACAAAAAAAAAAAAAAAACTGGTTTTGACCACATCTGGGCAATCTGTGGCCCTCCATCCCTTGGGATACTAACACTACACACCCAGGCAAGGCGTGCACAGACAGTTGAAGTTCCTAGACAGGGGACTGCTGGTTTTTCAAGGGCGGTGTATAAAGCAAAATATAGTAGAATGACATCAGTGTGGACAATCTCAAAGGCAGAGACAAAGAAAATAAATCTATAATAGTAGGCACAGTGGAGGGAGTGCCAGTTAAGAAGAGTTCATAAATACATCATAATGGAAGATGCGGTCCGTTACTTCAAAGCCTGCTTGAGAAACCTTCCAGTTCTCCGCTGCATGGATGTATGCTTATGACGGTTTATAAAATGGCCAACATGGAAGGGAAAGGACGAGGGGGTGTACCAGGAAGGGCTTGAAACCAAAACTGAAAAAAAAAAAAAACCCTAAATATAAACAGAACGTAAAAGTGAGGGTGGGTAAAGTCAAGGTCACGGGAAGCCGTCATCATCATCTTCAGCCATTTCTTTAGCAAATTCTAAATCCTGCTGCTCCCGCTCACGCCGCTCCTAATGGAAGAGAGACAATTGGATGATTTAGTGCAGGAAGAATCACGGCATCAGGAAGGAGCAGTAAGAAAAAGCTGGCCAATAAAGACTCTTAGAGCTTCAAAAGCCTGAAATAAACAGCTATCCCAAATTCCCATCATTTATCTTTAGCAACAGGGAATTTGGAACTTTCCAGTAAAAGGCAAAGATAAATTTCACACCATCTAAGCTGAGCCTCTCAAGAATACTATCATATCCAGCAAAGGAACATGAAAAAAGTTTAATGTAACACTGCACAAAATGAGGTAATCTTAGTTATTTGACCTTAGGCCTCATTCACTTAGGGCGTACCTATCTGTACATCCATGCAAACAGCCATCCTCGTCTGCATGGGACGTACATCCGCGTGCACACAGTCCCATTCACTTCTATTGGGAGGCAGCAGCTATACAGATACAGTTGTGTGGGTCTGAAAGCACACAGTCTACGTTTGTATCTGTGTAGCCGCTGTATGCCAACAGACATGAACAGAACACCTGTGCTTCCTGTGCAGGCTCCTTCCATGGGTGTACGGGTAGGTATGCCTGTGTGAATAGGACCTTAAAGTCATTACAGACTCTAAACAGTCTAAACCTAAAATCCAGCTTTGAGAAGTAGAAAGCATTTAATCATCAAAATTAGTAAAGTGTTTTCTACAGAGTCCATAGCCAAATTGAGTCCAACACTGCTTCCTTTTGCAAGGCGACAATGCTAGATTTTCAGTTTCTCACAGCTTTGTCTAAGGACTACAAGACTGCATTGGCAGCATCATCTTACAGAGTCGTTACAATGGGTAGATGAGGCCGAGCACTCCTACATGGGCGTGTCTTGCCAGGTCCTGCTGACCCTTCCTTTGATATTGACCTGCACACCTACCATTCAGTTCATGATCTCTGTGACCTGGCCCTAACTGATTAAACTGATTACATCTATGGAAGAGAGAAAGGACTAAAGCTCGCACTCCAGCCACAGCTGGTGCCCAGCAGACTCAATGAAGATAGCAGGTGGTCAGGTGACCAAAAATATGAAAGTAGCTGAAATATATATTTAGTAGATTTTGTTTACGGTTATTAACAAGCTACCCCTACATAAACAATTATTGCTGCAATGATTTTTTGCTAGTGCTCTGCTTAACCCCTTGACACCGAGCAGCCGCATATTTGCGTGCAATTAGAAGATACATATGTGCTGAGAGTGTGCGCTCCCAGCACATATGTCCGTGACTCACGGACCTATCGATCAGGACCTTTTCCGATCATGTGACCACCGTGATGGCGAATCACGGCGGTCACATGACCCTAAAACCCCATCTGCCTCCCGGTTTCTGAAACTCTTAAAGGGCCGGGAGGCACCGGCACCGGCGTGGTTAAACTAAGAACTTGGTGGAGCTATTTTATCTGTGCTTACCTCTGCTGACTCCAAATCTTTGTTGTATGACTTGGGAGGGAATCGCATAGCCTAAAGAGAAAAAAAAAAAAAATAAATAAAAATGGGTCAATTTTTATTTGTAAGTAAGACATTTTTTTTTATCCTGAGTTTTATTCTTTTTGTATGTATCACTGCTTAACTTGTAAATAGCAAAAAGTGGTTACAGACTTTCCTGTACTGGCCTGGAGAGAATGGGTGTCACCATTTCTCTGAATAAAATGGTCTCCTTACCTTAACGGACATATTGTGAATGTCTAAACAAAAAGAAATGCGTTGGTGGAAAGCCAGCTGGGGCTCTCGTGTGGAGTAAATGTCAGTCATCTCCTTAGATTGGACGTAACCCTTTTCATGGTTAATACTGGCTTCAATGACTCCATCACGGATTGCCTAGGTGAAACAAATGGCACGGATAAGAATGGAACATGTAAGAAGATTGCATGCTTGCCTGTCTCAGGAGACCACACTACCAATACATATATCTCTGCACAGATAAAATAGAAAAAGGGAAGATAAAATGAATGTAAACAGTGGTTATAAGTTTTATGAGTGCGTTTATTTACTAAAGCAAAGGCAATGTACTAAGCAGAGTAACCCACAACAATTCAGAAATCTGTTAATTGTCTGAGTTACATATCCTCTGTTAAAGCAGAACTAAACTGGCATCTACTGAGGGCTTTTTTCCATAATGAACTTGAACATTATAGCAAATTCACTTTTTCCCTCCTGCAGTTTCTCCAATCCATTGCTGTGACTCCTGTCTGCCCACTGTTGCCGCCATCTTATTATCTGCTTCTTTTGTGTTTAGAGTTCTCCCTCTTGAGCCATTGGGCAACCATTGATGTGCACTGGACCTATATTATCCCAGCAACCAGCTCCATTCCTGGCATCTTATAAATGATCGGAGTAGTCTGAGAACACACTGCACATGAACCATACAGAGCATACACACAAGGGGAAATTTACAAATCCTTTTACCAGCACAGCCCTGTTAGTTTTTAAGTTTAGTTCAGCTTGAAAGACACACTCCAGATAAAATGTTTTCTTTCATTTGGATAGAACTGGGAAGAGAACGTTTCTGTCGGAATTTTAATGTCATCTATGGGCAGCACAGTGGCTAAATGGTTAGCACTCCACCTGGCAGTACTAGGGTCGTTGGTTCGAGTCCCAGCCACGGCACCACCTGTCTGGAGTTTGCATGTTCTCTCTGTGCCTGCGTGGGTTTCCTACGGGTACTCCGGTTTCCTCCCACACTCCAAAGACATGCTGGCAGGTTCATTGAATCCTGTCTAAATGGGCCCTAGTATGTGTATGTAATGAATGTGAGTTAGGGAGCTTAGATTGTACACCCCTTGAGGGTTAGGGACTGATGTGAACGTATAATATATATGTAAAGCGCTGTGTAAATTGACGGTGCTATATAAAGTACCTGAAATAAATAAAAATGTGCAAATTTCTGCTCAATTGTTGTCAGGACAGGAAGCGTAGGAAATCTCTTCAGTTAGGACACTGATAAAATAGAACCACATTTAAGTAACAGAAGGAAGAGTTCTAGTATCGTCCTGTTCTGGCGACAATCGCAAACCTTATCCTTTGTAAATGTGTTACAGGATCAAGAAATGAGGAAAAAAATAACCCCAATAAGATTTCAGACCCAAAAAAAAAAAAAAAAAAAAAAAAAAAACTGGACAGAAAACTTCTCATTTCTTTCAAGAACTAAAAATAAATCGGGAGTTCGGGTTTCAAGTAAAATGCTCTTCAAAGAATTACATCAGCACTTCAATGTACATTTGTTCTATATATCAGGTTCTCGCCACGTCTCCTCTCAGGTGTTTACCTTAGCAACTATGAATTCAGCATCCTCAGGACTGTCAAGCTGTAACTTCTGGGCAATGTCAGGCAGAGAGATCCTGGAATAGGACAGGCTGATCATACGCACACCTACAGAATAAAGTGATGAAACACATAAGTGTGTGTGTATGTAAAATCAAAAAACAAAATTAAATGGAGGTGCCACATTAAAAGGGTGCTGGAAACTGCTCTCCACTGCAGTCCAATTTTGTTTTACATCAGAGGCAGTGCTGGGTGAAGATTCCTGTGGCCTAGAAACCACTAACTCTGAGATTTGCTGACTTGGAACCCAAGTAAAGCTAGCCATAGGCGGATTGAAATTTGGCTGCTTCAGCAGGAATCAGTCAGATTTCAATCCACGTGTGGGCAAGCTTGTTGTACTGAAGTAAATCCAGGAAGGCTGTGATCTTTATCCTTCCTTCATTACTTGGTATAACACAGACTCAGAACAAGCAGGTGCCTATAAGACTCTTAAATAATATGCAGTGGACCGTTTTAACCACATCCTAAATTTTGCTCTGCTAATTACTTAGATCAACAAGATACTCCTTTCCATACATTTTAATATTTGCATAAAAGAAACCCTGTCACCAGACCATCTATTTACGTAATTACATAGTTAGCCTGGCTGAAAAAAAAAGACAAAAATCCATCCAGTTCAACCATTAAAAAAAAGTTATAATCCTATACCCACATTTGATCCAGAGGAAGGCATGTCACACCCAGCAAAGCATGATCCAATTTGCTCCTGCAGGAGAAAAAAAAAATTCCTTCCTGATACCCAGAGAGGCAATCAGATATTCCCTGGATCAACTTTACCTATAAATAATTCTCCCAAAATATTATATGTGAATGTAATGTATTTCATGTATGTTATTTACATGTAAAAGCCTCCCTTGTGTACACATTGAAAATCCTTGAGACTGCTGCTAAGCACCACCATCTTGGATATATCAGCAACTCCAGCAGACTCAGAGCGGTCACTCAGTTAACACTGTAGTATTCCCCTTTGCTTCTCTTCCAGTTGCTACAGAAGGGTTATGTAAGGAAGTGAAGGATGAGTGAAGGAGCTGGACCAGCACAGAGTAATTAACGTGCCAAAAAGAGGATAGCTCTGTCATGTGCAAGGAACGGAGGAAAGCTGTGCTAGACAACTAACATTTCCTAAGTAAATTTTGATAGCAAGCTCAGAGGTACATTGTAAGGCAGTAAAAAAAATGTTTTTCTGTGCTTTTGCTTGAAATTTGTAAGTATGTGCAGCATCTCTTTAAATGCTCTGAAATGAGAAACCACAACAGATAAATAGAGAAAACAAATACAGTGGAAAGGGGGGGGGGGGGGGGGGAAACAAAACGAAAAAAAACGAAAAAAAATGAAGAAAGAAGCATACGTTACGTCATTACTATTGCATGAAGAAATCACCTTTTCTATATGGAGTCTTCAGAACAAACAGCAGAACCTTCTGTCACAAATTTAGCAGCCCCTAGCGGGCTCTATTAATTGAAAAGTTAATCTACCAACCTGTCTTGATGACATTATGCCTCAGTCGAATGATAAGTGTGTACGTTCCATCTGCCTGGAACTTTTCACAAAACTGCTCAAGCACCTGATTAAACTTGGCCAGATTGCCTGTACGAACAGCTGTAACAGAAAAGCCATGTAAAAAGACATTATTATTATACAGTATTTATAAAGTGCCAATAGTTCGCTCAGCGCTGTACATTACAAAGGGGGACAGAACATGTGACAGAACAATACCAATACAATGCAAAACATGAGGGGATCGAGGGCCCTGCTCTTTCAAGCTTACAATCTAGGAACATGTACTTATTACATACATACTGTATGTGCAAGCAGACTTCAAAGGGTCCGAGTTCATTACCATGAATTTTTCCTTTATACAAAGTGAACAAGGCTGTACACAAATGAATTACTTCTACTTTTGGACCCTACTGTGTGTATCATACAATAACATAATAAAAACATTTCAAATCCATCATGGTTATCGTATGGAAATAAAGATACAGAATACACCTGTGTAAAACGTAAGCCACTTTCACATTTGTCCTACGGTAGACCATAACGATGAAGCAATGCAAATAAACATGGAAATTGACATTACAAATGCCATAAAAAGCCTTCAATCTAAAAAGGGAAAAATGTATTCAGGTAATGCAGTGACTTGTCCCCCATAAAGACTAATGCTTGCCATTATCAGCAGAAGAGTAACGATTGCAGGCCACAAAAGCTATGCAATGAAATAAAACTACTAGATATCGGAATCTTGTTTTTCTCAATTTAAAGGGTTAGTTGACCTTCACAGAAAAAAATGAAAAGGTGAACACATACTGTACCACCGTTCCCACCCCCCAAATCCTCCTTTGGGCGATTAGCTGTCAGTGCCCATGCAGCCGGTGTAGTGGTTCTGGGATTTGAAACCCCCACTCTTCTTCCCCTTCTTTCTGTAGGGATTCTGGGTTTAATCAGAGTGATTGTGATTGGTCAGTGATTGCATGTGACCGCTGTGGCCAATCAGAATCTGATATGTCCAAGAAGCCTACAAGGAGAAGGACAAGGAACTCAAAATTCCCAGACTGCTGCATGGGCAATGAAAGTTAATCCCCCACAAAGGTAAGTGCAACAGGGACCGGGGGTGGGTGTCATGGGTAGGTGATAGGAATAAAAGGCTCACCTTGGGTAAGGAGGAAATAAGGCATAAGAGACCTCTTTAGTGAATGCTGTCTGAATTGGAGACGATCTGGGATTTCACCTAATAGAAGTTCTACCACAATCAAAAGCTTGTGGACCTGAGGAGATTAAAAAAGGCAAGAAATCAGTGCAGAATCAGACAAGGAGGATTAAAAAAACTGCCAGGGAACGTGTAAAGACACACATTGGATTTAATTAAGTAAATAAGTAGAGGCTCTTCTCTTAAAATGTATGTGGACCTTGCAAAGTAAATGTTTTAGGGCTCGTTCACACCAGTGTGCAGAGACATCAGTTTTTCTGCACATTTTCTGCAAGGGCACAAGGAAATCAACTGTTTTCTATGTGCCCTGTTCACACCACTTGTATCACGTGCAATTTTTTTATGCATAGAAATCTGCAACGTGTATAAAACGATTTGAAGCGTGCATGAAAACTGATGTACACTCGTGTCTCTGAAAGTGAAATCTGCACATCAGTTTCCATCAGTTTTTCTGCACATATGGTGTGAACGTGGCCTAAGAAAGGAAAATCTGCATTTCTGCTAGTGTTTAAAAAAAAAAAAAAAAGGCAGTAAAATATGCATAGATAAGGAATTTTAACCACTTGCCAACCGCGCTATAGCCGAATGAAGGATACAGTGCAGTTGTCCAGTTCTGGGAGGGCCTTATATGACGTCCTCCCAGAACGCGCCCTACAGCATGCCAACCAGCAGCATGCAACCCGGCGCTCTCCATGATCACTTGATGAGGTAAAAGGCCAATCACAGAGGACTTTTACCACATGATCAGCTTTATACATTGACACAGCAGATCACAATGTAAATACAGTTGCCGGTTATCGGTAGCAGTTTCCTTACGCTGTCGCAGCGTGAGAAAATTACTGCAGATAACCGGCAAATGACACAGAGGACAATCGTCACTGATGAGCAGCACCCAGCAGTGCCTCCCACCAGTGCCCATCATTGCTGCATATCAGTGCAGCATCATCAGTGCCTCCTCATCAATACCCCCCAGTGCAGCCTCATCAACGCACAATCAGTGAAGGAGAAAAAAATTTACCCGTTTGCAAAATTTTATACTAGAAACAAAGAAAAAAACTTTTTCCCTCAAATTTGTTGCTTTTTTTTTTTTGTTTATAGTGTAAAAAATAAGACACCCAGTGGCGATTAAATACCACCAAAAGAAAGCTCTATGTGTGTGAAAAACAAATGATAAAAACTTCATACGGGTACAGTGTTGCATGACCACGTAATTGGCAAAGTGCGACAGCACTGAAAGCTGCAAATTGGCCTGGACACCAAGGGGGTAAAAGTGCCCGGTAGGCAAGTGGTTAAACAAGCTTAACAGGGAATTTATATCCATCCTTTATGTGCAACATATTCTCTAATGAAGGATCTGTAAAAATCATTTACCGTCTGTTTGAAGCCCACTGCTGTGTGTTGGGGGGCTTTCCTCAAAGCATTAGTCAGAGTCCTTCTGGCTTCAGAGTATTCCAACTGAATGGCCTTAATCCGACCTAGAAGAAAGCATGATTGCAATCTCTTAAAACGGAAAAACCTTAAAAGTTTAACAGAATGCTAACTTATATGCCTACAGACCCCTCAACAGAATCCTAATATTCAGAACATTTCAGAAATCATTGCTTATACACATATTCAGTGCCATCCTCTAGAGCGGAAAAAGGTAGCACTGCTAATTAAAGGGGTGATCTACTTTGAATATTCTGAACCTGAAAAACTATCAACTATCAAGACATTGAAAAAAATATTTGAAAGTACATTAGCCACCAAACCCCATCCCACAAAGTGTTTATATTGGTGTTGGGTAGGTAACTTGAACCCTACAGTTCATAGTTACGGACATTCAGCAACAGGTTTCCAACAAAAAGAAATGATTTATTATAGTCTTATGTGAAATATGTGAGACCAGTAATAAGTGGAGTGTCTGTAGACGTAGCTGTAGGAAATTCATGCTGTTGGGTATGAAGAATAACAGAAAGTAACACAGAAGTTTGGTATCAGTCACAGATAAGAACCCATTCTAGCTCACATCTATGTTATTATAAGGAGCAAAGACCATTATAGTTCAATATCTGTAGTAAGACAAAATTCTGGCTCATGCAGGTCATACATGGGTCAAATTCTGAAGGAATTTGAATTCAAAAATTTTGTGCTTTTTGTAACCCGACGTTGCCACCATTGATTTCGAAATTCGACCAACTAAGCCTTCAATTTCACCTCATGTTGCTACAGAAAAGAATTTTCGTGGCCAAGAATGGTCTTTTCTTTCCAGGTCACAGCTCATGCTCATTTCTTTTTCGATTTCTTGTGTGATTCTCCCGTCATCGAAATTAGTTTGTTTTTTTCAAAAAATTTCCAACATGCCCGATCACTCAAATTTGATGGTCACTTGAAAATCGTCTGTTTCTGTGGCCCACTAATGGTGCGAAATTCAAACAAAAATTCTTAGAAAAGATTGTCGAAAAAAAAAAAAATCCTTTCAGAATTCGACCCGTTTATGGCTGGCTTAACACTATGTACAGAAAATAAGCCAAAGTCTTTGAGGATAAACCACAGCTGCCCCATCTTCTTTGACAGAGAAACGGAAACCTTTTCAACGTAATTATTGCTCACCTGTGTAGTACAAATAGCGAGCCCACTCGTTGTTGTTAGCCTGCTCAGGAAATACTGACTTGGACACTAGTTTTTCAGCCTGATCATACAGGTTGTACTGTAAGTAGTTTCTAAGAAGCAGGTTGAGCAGTGTAGCTTGTCCATCAGCATCATGCCTGAGTGTGGCTGTTCGCAGTCTTGCATGCAGGAAGCTGTAAGAGTGTATATTAATTTAGTGTGTTACCAATCAAAAAATAAAATACTTGTCATCTCATCAAATGACACGCTCCTTCGGTTTAAAAGCTGGATTTTGTAAAATAATAGTAAGGCCAGGAGCCTGTGGCCGATTTTTGTTCGTACAGAGATTCACATAAGTGAACTTGCAGCAAACAACTTCCTCTATTAGGAAAATCACGTTTACAAAATAAAAACAATACCCATTATGAAATCTCACAAATGACATTTCCAGTTCTAGGAAAAGCTCAGGTGGCTTTACCTTCTCCAAGATGCACAATCCCTAGACAATGCAGAACTACTATACTGCAATAAAATGCACAACTGTAAGCTATTTGACATTAAAACACTTAAACAGAATACATTTATGTGGCTACAATTCTGCTCTAAATGTATTTCTCAATGCAACTAGTTTAAAATGATTCTAAAAAGATTCATTATTTTTTTTTGGAAAATAACAAAACATGTCTATACTTGCCTGCTGTGTGCAGTGGTTTTGCACAGAGCAGCCTGGATCCTCCTCTTCTCGGGTCCCCTACAGGCTCTCCTGGCTCCTTCTGTCTGTCGGGTGCCCCCACAGCAAGCAGCTTATTATGGGAGCACCCGCTGCTCTGTGTCCCCATTCACACACAGAGCTGTGGCTTGGCCCTGCCCCTCTCCTCATTGGCTGACTGGCTTTGATTGACAGCAACGGGAGCCAATGCCTCCCGGTTGCTGTCTCAGCCAATGAGGATGCAGATGAGGCAGTCATTCACATCGCTGGATCATGATGAGGCTCAGGTAAATATTGAGGGGGCTGGGGGGACAGAAGGGTTTTTTACCTATAGAATGCATGAAGGTAAAAAACCTTCAACCTTTGCAACCACTTTAAGGACCTATATCTATTTTGGAATCAACCTCGTGTAATTCCTTGTACAGCAGAACTAACTGGAGGAGGGAGGGAAAGCACAAATCAGGCTGTGCTGCAGTGCACCTGCGTTGACAATGAATATGCTGAAACAGAAGGATGACCTTGTCACCAAGCTGTTACTTCATTAAGAAATTAACAGGCTGGCGGTAGGATTTTGATCAAGCAGTGATGCAGTTAACCAAACTCCAGGTATGGACTATTTTGCATACTTGCATCAGTCCAGCTTGGACCAATACAAATACATACATGCCATACCTGGATGACCTCAAGGGAGGCTGGAAAGCACTGTGCTAGGCACCACTACCACAGTGACTGTTGGTGGCGTCCAAATCTAGAAGCAAGTGGCTACCCTTGTGCTTAGAGAACACGAGGTTACTTGCTCAGCACAGCCACCATTTAGAGAACACTTTGCATCTTCTCAACCAATGCAATAGAGTTCTCTGATAGAACAAGATAAATATCGCAAGAATACCGCACTGCCTCCCCACCTCGTCCAATCAGAGTATGCTTTGCATTAATTAAGGACATGCAAAGGGTTATCTAAATAGCACTCATGCTGAGCTACAATACCTTCTGTGCTCATTAAGCAACAGGTCAGAAGCTGAGCACAGTACCCGGAGGCTAGCAGCTCAATAGTATGCATGTTCCATAAGTGGCTGTTCCCCAACACTGGTCCAAGCAGGACAAATGTGCCTATCCAAAATAGTCCATACCTAAAACGTTTTAAGGAGCTGGCTGTGTTATCCAGCATGGTTGTCTGGATCACAAGTTTGGCTAAATAAAATTGAATGTCTTTTGACAACATACAAATAGTTTAATTCTGTACATAGCCACTTGCCCAAAGTTCACACTTCCAATACTTCAGTCTGTTACATATAACTCAACTGTAAAAAAATAGCTCTCTGGCAAAGTGCAGGAAATAAAATGAAAATAGGTCATTAAGCATGGCTTATAGATAAAAATGTCTTCTTGAATGCCAGATTTTCACTTTAAAATGAACTTGTATAGTATGTGCTAGCTAGAAGTAACAATTTAAACTATTAAAAGTAAGAGACTGCAGGTAAAGGCATTGTATAGTTAATTGTACACATTTGCAAATAAAAGGCATACAACTTTCATCCATCATAACAGACACTAATTGGCTGAATTATTTTTAAGGGATGCACTGAAATTTTGGCCACCGAAACATATCGGACGAAAATAGCTATATCGGCATTTTGTCAACAGGAAAAATTTAGCCAATACAGGGGACTGTGTGTGTGTGAGAAAAAGTTGAGCAGTGTATACAGCGACAGGCTGTCACTATATATCAATGCCGGTTTTTTAAATGCAATTACCAGGTTTTTTTTTCCCTTCACTGAAGCTCAGAGAATCAGCTGTCACTTTCCCCGAGCTAAAAGAAAAATGTCCTTTTAGTTTCTTTCCGGAGCTAAAAGAAACAGTTTCATTCATTCTCTGAGCTATGGTGAAAAAAACAAAAACAAAAAAAAACAAAAAAAAAAAAAAAAACCAGCACTGACATATAGGGGTTTATTTACTAAAGCTGGAGAGTCCAAAATCAGACTCACTTCTGCATAGAAACCAATCAGCTTCCAGGTTTCATTGCCAAAGCTTCATTGAACAAGCTGAGGTTAGAAGCTGATTGGTTTCTATGCAGAAGGGAGTCTGATTTTGGACTCTCCAGCTTTAGTAAATAAACCCCATAGTGACAGCCAGTGAGGAAGCCTCTCTGTATACACTGCTCCTCTCCTGCCCCCTCCTTGCACACACTGCCCTCTTTTCCCCCTCCCCCCTACAAAGACAGCCTGTCACTCATATGCTATCACAAAAGGGACCATCGGTTTTCGGCCATATGCATTCTGAATTTTCTGTATCTATTTTGGCACCAGAATTTTCATTTTGTCTTCTTTCATCTATATGAGAATCATTTGGTGAGATTTACCAGCAGCACTGTGTTATCTGCTGCAACGAAGTAGTCATAACAAAAGAGTCACTCTTTTACAGCTGAGATTTCCAATGATTTGTTGTATATCAAACAGGGAAGTATGCCAACATCATTTAGATTTAGAAAAGTCAAAGCAAAATGGTAAGACTGAATTCTGAGGACATCCCATTACTGGAGTAATAAAAGAAGCCCTGTCAGCAACTACCAATCTAATACCTGCTTCATAGACAAAATCTTTTAGATAAACTGAGCAGACTTTCTGATTTAGCATAGCAGCAACACTTTCCAGATAACATTAGTTCATCAATGAATAATGGTGGTTATTATCCAAAATAACTTTCTAAGCCTTGGTTTGTTGCTCACCTTCTGACAGCATCTAGTTTATTGAGGAACTCATAGCTACGAGAGTGGTAGTAATAACATTTTGCTACTACAAGATCCAGAGCTCGCCGATTCTGAGGGCTGATTTTCTGCATCAAGTCATCTGACACCTTCTGTGCCTGTAAGGAATAAGAATTAAATATGAACAAAAGTAAACATCACAAAACACCAAAAAAAAAAAAAAAAAAAAAAAACTGAAGGCAAACTAATCTGAAAGTAAACCTGTGCAGGGAAAAGCAATGGGTTTATTTTAATTATTATTCAGGATTTATATAGCGCCAACAATTTGCGCAGCGATTTACAAAATGACGAATGCTATTCTCCCCCCCCCCAAGTGACAGCGCTGTGCTAGGCACCTAGCACCGGCCATGTCACATAAGAAAGAGCAAGTCACACGCTCCTTTATATCCGGAAGTACTGTTTTTGTTTTTTTTGCTTCCAGTGGCTGTATGGCACTGCATGGACAAAGCGAAAGCTTTCCTTAAAGGAACTCAGATAAACAAATATGTCTTCATAGGGAAACAACTATTCCCAGCTCAGAAATTGCAAAGGTTCAGATTTACTTCCATTATGTGTCATATGAAATAGGGAAGAGCGGTCTGCATAAAAGTATGATCACAAGTGTTCTGGTTCAACAACTTCACTCTGAAATCTTGTGTCGAAAAATAAATGTCTGTAAAGGCAATGTCTGTTTGATTGATATGAGATTCATTACTACACTATCCAGAAAGCATGCAGTGCTTTTAAGCAGTTTATTAGCAGATGCATCCATTTACTGGTGCCCTAAAAAGTCAGGGGACATCAGCAGACATTTACGTGTCAGAACATAAAATGCTCTACATAATGAAATAATGGTAAACTGTGCTCTCACCTCTGTGTAGTGTTTACTGTTCATCAGATAGATCACCAGAAGAAGCTGCAGGTAAGCTTCTACCTCTGGGAGCAAAGGGGCAGAGGCAGCCTTTCCTGTTCTTGGTCTGAACTGCAAATCCCCCTCTGTATCCATCATCTGCAGAGAAAGCAGTTAAGACATATGGACAGTGTGTATTTAAATTATAAAAATAAGTTATACAATACATAAAACATTATTGTTAATAATACAAACCAAGTAAAAAACTGAAATACGAAATATATACTCTAGTTTCAGTATGTAGCTAACAAAAAAAATCCACCTTCCATATCGGTGTATGAAACAGTGTGATAAGAGCCATTACACTAAACTAACATTCACAACCAAAGTCTGTGATGTATCCCTACAGTGTCTATCGGACTCTCTTCCTATGCTGATCTGGAGCTCACCAGTTCAGGCCTCAGTGGCCTCCTCCCCCACCCCACTAAACATCTCCCTGTTCCTACAGCCAACTAAGTAAGCAGGACTTTGTGCTACATATTCGAGGGCAGATCTAAATGAGATGGTACATTCAGACTGTACATAGCGTATCATCAACTTTAGGGAGAAAATATTTCCATATGCTAAAACAAGGAAATACAGTATACAGTTGTACTCAAAGGTTTGCATATCCATGGAGAAATGGTATGCAGGCGCAGCTTGCTCACAACATAAAACAGATGTGGTACCATTTTTAAAGAAATGAGTGAGGAGGCAAAACACGTTTCTATTGTTTCGTATGGGATTGATATTCAAACTGTAGATCATAACAGAATGGCACAATCATAAAACAAAACATTCAACAAGTAAACAAATGAAATGTCTGCATACCCTTAGTTCTTCATACATACAGTGTATTGCCACCTTTAGCATCAATGACAGCCTGCAGTCATTTGTAATAGTTATCTTTGAGGTCTTAAATTCTTGCAAGTTGCATAGCTGGATATTCGTCTTGGCAAAATGCCTCCAGGTCTTGCAAAGTCCTTGGGACATCTTGCAAGAACCGCATGTTTGAGATCTCCCCAGAGTTGCTCAATGATATTAAGGCCATGAGACTATGATGGGCACTCGAGAACCTTCATCTTTTTTTGCTGTAACCATTGGAGGGTCAGCTTGGCCTTGTGCTTGGGTCACTGTTGTGCTGGAAAGTCCAAGAGAGTCCCATGAGCAGCTTTCGCGCAGAAGAATGAAAATTGTCTGCCGGTGTTTTCTGATAACAGGCTGCATTCATCTTGCCATTGATTTTCACAAGATTCCCTGTGCCTTTAGAATGCACACGCCCAAAACATTAGTGGTCCACCACCATGCTTCACAGTGGAGATGGTTTTCTTGTCGCTATAGGCCTTGTTGACCCCTCTCCAAAGCAAACGCTTATGGTTGTGATCATAAAGCTCTATTTTGGTCTTAAATTGAAAAAACAGATGAACTGTGCATGGTCATAAACGTGCATATTTTAGACATATCATAAACCAGTCTCATAATTGGTGTAAAAGAAAGTTTTCATGTTTGTGTTCCACTTGTATTCAATATCTTGTTTGGTGCTCCACTGTGCCAAACAAAAGTGCCCCACTTGGACTGACACTCACCCTCATTCCATGACCATCCATTTCTACAGTGGTCATTAACGCTTTGCGGGACAATCCCAGTAAGCCAATGGTCCCCTGTGATCACCTATCCCTAAGGCGGTCCATGACAAATAAGGAACAATTTCCAAAAATGCCCGCTGTCTCCACAGCTCCACAAGCAGCAAAGAAATGTATCACCATATATGAAGAAAAAGAAGGGGACATCTGATCGTGTAAAATTGCTTGGTACCTTTATTGGGGTTATATGAATATACACTCACAAGAAAAGTGCCAACAGCCCGGCACCTGGTGTACTCAGCCTTGTTGTAAATCAAAGATGGAAGCAGCTGACCTGATAGCTCCTTGGAGTAGCGTGCGTTCCACAGGGCGGATGGGATGTTGGCGGAAGTTGCATCATCAAACCTCGACGCATTTTGATCAAAGATCGTCTTCAGGAAGTGCACTTATAGGTACTTTTCTTGCGTGTCAAGGTGTTAATCGGGCATATAGTAACCGGGCTTTTTTTGTGACACTGGCGCACTAAAGGCTTCTTTCTGGAAACTTGACTATGCAGCTCATTTCTGTTCAAGAATTGTCGTATATTGCTCCTTGAAACAACCACACTGTCTTTTTTTCAGAGCAACCTGTATTTCTCTTGAGGTTACCTGTGGGTTTTTCTGGCAGTTGTGGCTGCAATTTTTCTTCATCTATCTGACCTTGGCTTGGTATCCAGAGATCCCCCAAAGTTTCCACTTCTTAATAAGTGATTGGACAGTACTGACTGGCATATTCAAGGTATTGGAAATCTTTTTATATCCTTTTTCCATCTTCATTAAGTTCTGTTACCTTGTTACAAAGGTCTTTTGACAGTTCTTTTCGGCTTCCCATGGCTCAGTAACTAGCTTGCTCGGTCCATCCATGTGAGAGCTTACAAACTCACTGATTATACACAGACAATTGCAATTAAAAAAAAAAAAAAAAAGGCACAGATGTGGAAAATTAACCTTTAATTGCCATTTTTAACCTGTGTGTGTCACCTTTGTATGTCTGTGCCAAGGCCAAAAATTCCAGGATATGGAAACTTTTGATCATGGCCATTTGACTGATTTCTGTTATTATGATTTAAAAAGGAGACAGACAACTAATAATTTTAGGATCACTATCCTTAAATAAAAGTTTTTTTGGCATGACCAGTCATGTGACGGTATGCAAACTTTTGAGCACAACTGTACTTTAAAAGATGTGATGGTGGCTGCTAGTATAGCAAACATTAATGGATTATGCCTGAACTTACCTCCTCCAAGAAACTCAGCAGCCAGTCACGGGTGGTAGCGTTGGAGGTGAAAAAGCCATTAATAGCTTTGTGCAGGACATTGGGGTTCAAACGACGGGATGTAGATGGCAGGGCTCTCAGTGCACGAAGAACAAATCTCGGCTCCTTTCCAGACACTGCCTTCTCTATCTGCTTCACATGCTCCTTAATATCTGCAATGTTTAAAGAAACATTAGCAAAAAACAATAGCACTCTGTTACTTCATATTCAAGTAGAAACTCAATCAGATAAAAACAGAGTTCGGTATTATGCTTTACAAACCTCTGCTTCAGCACACAGCCACTACACTTGGCTTCTGCTTACATGACCGTGAATGGACGTGTAGCTTATGTTTCTATATGTGGTTGGTTTGTTCATATAATACTTGAGTAATAAGTGTACAGTCAGTATTCTGGCTTACCATAAATTGCCTTTCCTACTGTATATACAAAACTATTGGTCAAACGGTTCTGTTTATACTGCTTAGACAGCATAGAGGATGTGGTATTACAGAAAATACCTGTAATATTGTTCAGTTATTAGCAAACATAAGACTCAAAATACTTGACTTGGGCACAAAATGTTGGCAAACTTTAAAAGCTCCCTGATGTCACAAACATGAAGTTAAAACCAAACTAAACAAGTTCTCCTTTCTAAAAAGCCTTCTGAGATGTCAAAAAAGAACCTCTGGAACTATGCCCACACCCCCTATAAACTGCCAAGGATGAGGTCTGACCTCACTTAGTGGAGATCTCCTCTTGCTTCCTGTCCATCTTTGGGACAGGAGGTGATGGGAATTACTAACAGGAACAGAAACCAAAAAGAAACCCAACAAATGATCTCTACTTTCACTCTAATCAAAACTTTAAAGGAACTTTTGGCTGGGGGTCCATATTAAAATACAAATATTTGGTGGGGTTCAGGGTCATGCCAAAGATAATGGTGCATTTTTGGACTGAGCACATCAGGTTTGTCAGGATTCCAAAGGACTTAGGACATAAAACAAACAGTGCCTGCTCTTAGGTGACTATTATTTTCTTTGGCTCACTCTGAAGGCTTTCAGCTTTTATCACTGTATGCTTTAAGGTAATCTAATTTCAGGTACATGCAATTCTCTACTGTTATCCTGAAAATGAGTTAACTTACTAATGCATGCAAAGCTGAGTGCTGACAACTTTGGCTGTCTGTGTACACACAACCTTAGACCAAAAATACAACTCCGCTATTAGCCAAGTAGTTTATCACTGTATCAAGTATCCCCAATTAAATCACTGTATGAATTAACTAAAATGCCAAACAAATCTGAGGCATTCTCCAGATGAAAATATTTAGAATCCTATCACACGGGCGTTCTGTTTTTTGCATCAGTTCAGTCACGTTTTTTCCAAGAAAAAAAAAAAAACTAGATCAGATCACGTCCGGGTTTTCCACCAGATCACGTCCGGGTTTTCCACCAGATCACGTCCGGGTTTTCCACCAGATCACGTCCGGGTTTTCCACCAGATCACGTCCGGGTTTTCCACCAGATCACGTCCGGGTTTTCCACCAGATCACGTCCGGGTTTTCCACCAGATCACGTCCGGGTTTTCCACCAGATCACGTCCGGGTTTTCCACCAGATCACGTCCGGTTTTCCACCAGATCACGTCCGGGTTTTCCACCAGATCACGTCCGGGTTTTCCACCAGATCACGTCCGGGTTTTCCACCAGATCACGTCCGGGTTTTCCACCAGATCACGTCCGGTTTCCGTCCGTTTAACATCTGTTTTTCAACATCCTTTACCAATGCAAAAATGGACCGTATGTCCGTTTACATCTTTTTTTAAAAAAACAATTTTTAAACGGAAGAAAAATAGTTTTCTTCTGTTAAAAAAAAGCATTTTAAACAGGTGCGGACATTAATGGATGTAAACAGATGATCATCAGTTTACACCTGCTAGTCCATAGAAATACATGGGTGTCAATTTTTCATCCGTAATCAGAAGAAAAAAGGACATACAGAATGCCCGTGTGAAAGGGGCCTTAAGTGGAAAAAAAAAAAAAAAACTGCACAGTTCACTAGTGCTCACTTCAGTAAGCACAGAAAGAAAACCATTCATGCACTGAGGTAGTAGGATTTGTAGCACTCTGAGGCCTTATTCATTCAGCTGTCCAATACCCAAATCAGTTTATTTCTGTGGTGGGTATAGCCAGGTATTTATGATCAGCTGTCTGCGTCCCAGCCTGTACAAGTCAATGACAGGCTAAGAGGTTCTGCAGCTGTGCACATGTAATAGCACATAAAGCAATTACTATCCATTAGGGACAGATGAGCAGATTGGACCCAGTCTGCATACACACCTGCTTATCTGTTGCAGGAGGCATGTAACTGCACCTTATATGATTATATGGGAACAGCCACTAACAGTATCAGCCTGTCATTGATTTGTACAGGATTCCTGTTTGCAGCTGATCTCAAATGCCTGTCTGTACCTGCTGCAGATATACAATGATCTGGACTGTGGACTAACCCTTAGCATCCTCGTATCCAGTGCTGAGCTATTAACCCTACTCTAGCCTTGATGACGTCAGGACCCTAGACCAGTGGAGCATGGGGGTGCAGATGCTATGAGGAGTGGTGAATTGGGCAAGTAAACCACCTTTTTTTAAACCCTATTTAGGCATAAACAAGTAATTAACTCTTGCAGTACAGGCACACTGCAAAGAATAGTTTTTATTGTCCATAGTTGGACTTGAAACATTAGGATCCTTAAGCCAGCCATACAAGGATTGAAATTCAGCTGGTTCAGCAGGGATAAATTTCAACCCATGTGTGGGCAGGCTGGTTATACCAATCAACTTCTGCACAACCAAACTGCCAGCTATAGGCAGCAGTGCTGATCAGTGTATTCTGATGGTGGGGGAAGTCTGCCCACTATCAGAACAGAATTGCTTAGTGGTAGTGGTACCCACATCCACTTCGAATGTTTGTATGTGGGAATCGGGTCATTTAATTGTTGTTGAATGGAAAAAAAAAAAAAAAAAAAAAAAAGACCAATATATGGGTTGTCTAAGGAATCATTCAAACACAGAGGTCTATACACTGTAAAAGACGGCTGTACATCTCCTGGAAGTCCAAGATTTGCATACAGCTGCCTGTACAAATCAATGACAGACTGACAGACTGTGGCTGTGCACTGGTAACCACACATACAGGAAAGGATGTGCGACCCTGAATGTCAATTGTCTGCATCCACAGGGACAGCAACTGTCTCCCCTGAATGATTCCATGTAAACATTTACATGTGCAGTTACCAGCGTACAGCCACAGCCTGCTATTGATCAGAATGCAATGCCTGTGCCTCCCAGATGTAGAAGTACGCTTTTTTTTTTTTTTTTTTTTTAACTGCATCAGTGTACGGAACTCTACTCTGGGAAGTCACAGGTGTTGCATACAGTGGCCTGTACAAATCAATGGCAGGTTACAGCTATAAACTGGTAACAGTACATGCGTAAAGAGATGATCGCACATGAACACCAACCACCTGCGTCCATAAGGAGCACACCGGTTTCTGATTGCATGTAAAAACCTGCATGTGTGATTACCAATGTACAGCCGCAACCTGATATTTTTTGTATGCAATGCCTGCGACTCCTGAGTGCAGAAATACCCTCATCTATGAAGATATAAGGCCCTCTGTGTCCACGTGAATGAGCCCTTCCCCCTGACGTGTGAGCTGTGCGAATTCAGCCCAACACTGCAGCAGAGAAGAATTCATTGACTTAATGTAGATGGAAGTAAAATATGGCCATATCTCTGTTCCTGGAAGTCACAAGTGTTGCATATAGTGGTCTGTAGAAATCAGTGACAAGCTGTGGCTGTACACCAGTAATCGCACATCTGAGCGTTTACATGAATGGATGAGTGGCTCTGAAAAGCCAACTGCTTGCTTCCTGGGGGCACACATCTGTCCCTGTATGCATGTACACTGGTAACCACACGCAAGTTTACATGCGTGCTCCATGGATGCAGGTGAATATATGCACCACATGCAGGGGACTGTATTCACCCAGAACGCCTCCATCTGCAGAAGTCGATTCATTCTGCTTTGGTGTTTTGGTGCACACATCAGAGGGAGGGCTCATTCACAAAGACAAAGGGCCATATGGGAAACGCAGACACTGCATACAAATCAATGGCAGCCTATGGCTGTACACCGATAACCGCATATGTGAGTGTTTACTGACATCAGCCTTTTTCGACACAGAGGAACCCTTGAAAATAACTTTCTGGTCTCAGGGAATCAAAAAAAAAAAAAAAAAAAATAAAAAAAAAAAAAAAAAAAAAAAAAAAAAAAAAAAAAAAAAAAAAAAAAAAAAAAATAAAAAAAAAAAAAGAAAAAAAAAAAAAAAAAAAAAAAAGAAATAAAAAAAAAAAAAAAAAACCTGCTAAAATTACTCTACTACTCACGATACATTAGTGTGATGGTCAGTAGGAAGAATGTTCCTTACACTTGTAGTCATTGGGAACAATTATCCCCTTACAGATAGCTAAAGATCATTGGTGTCAGTGGGAACTTATCTGAGAGGCAGAAGTTGTTCATTGCTCAAGGAACCCCGGTTTACAGGCATGTAAACACTGTCTATTCCCCCAGAACGCCTCCATCTGCAGACGTTGATTCATTCTGCTTTGGTGTTTTGGTGCACACATCAGAGGGAGGGCTCATTCAAACAGGCACAGAGGGCCATATAGGAAACACATATTTATTGTTTTTTTTACAGTGTATGGAATGTCACAGGTGTTGCATACAGCAGCCTGTAATTTCAGGCCCCTTTCACACGGGCGTTCCGTATGTCTGTTTTCATCTGTCCGTTTATGGATGAAAAACCGACACCTATGTATTCCTATGGACTAGCGGATGTAAACGGATGATCATCTGTTTACATCCACTAACGTCCGCATCTGTTAAGATGTTTTTTTTGAACGGAAGAAAACCCTATTTTTCTTCCATGAAAAAACTTTAACGGACGAAAAATGGATGCGAACGGATGGTAAATTGTCGATGAACTGACAAAAAACTGTTGTGAACGCTCATGTGAAAGGACCCTCAGCCTGTGGCTGTACACCGGTAACTGCACACCCCCGTGTTTACATAAATAGAGGGATGGATGAGCGGCCCTGAACACCAATCGCCTGCGTCCATGGAGCGC